CGTGGTTTTATTGCAGGCAACCCTGGCACTGCGGCTCATCATCCAGGAGCCCGAGTGCCAAGATGCACTGATGATTTATGCCCCCCACCTCCTCGTGGCTCTGCTTTTCCAAGTCTACATGAGCACAGAGCAGATGCCAGAGGAGGTCAAGATCTTCTGGAGGCAATGCCAGGAGCAACATGAGCTTCCCAACGACCCCAACAGGTGCTCCATCCCAGTCCTCTGCCCCTCCCTTGCCCTCAGGGGTGGGCCCAGGGCTCCCAGCATGACCTGGCCTTTGCTCTGCACACAGGTTTGCAGTACAGACCATCAAGGCCCTGCTCTGCAGTTCACACTGGGAGAATGAGGTGGTGGCAATAGAACGTAAACGTGGCTGGGACACCCTCCTCCATCCTGACACCCACCATTATGCAGTGGGGCTGCTGGCCAGGTGAGACACCCTTCTCCCCACTGCCACCATCATCTCTCCCCTGGGCACGGGGCAACCCACACAGCCCCTGTGGTTATGGGCCAGAGAGTCTTGGCACCAAGGGATGGACAAGCAGTTTGGAAAAGGCTGTGAGAGGAGGGTGCACAGGAGGAGCCACCTCCCAAAGAGCCCACGTCCCATCCAGGGCTACTGGGGAATGACCAGGCCTCTGGGCATCACTCCTGGGAGAGCTTTGCCCACCCTGCTCAGAGTCAATGGCTCCTGTTTTTTTCTTGACAGGGAAATGCGCAGCATTTTGGTGCCCTTCTATTCCCTGATTGCAACCCACCTGCTTGGGCTGCTCAGCAGGGAGGAGCCCCGCTGGGAGCTGCCTGCCCTGGCCTTCCTTGTTGAGGTGAGCCTGATGGCGAGCGCTGCCTTGCCCACCTGCCTCCCCCTCTCTGCCCTCTCACAGCCGCAGCTGCCCAGGATGGTACCTGCAGCCTCTGCTGCTGCCTGGGCCCAGCCTTGGGCGGCTCCAGGCTCCTGCAGCCCAGGCACCTCATCACTGCTCTCTGCCTTCCAGCTCCTGGACTATCTGGAGGGGAGAAAATGTCATGAGAGTGTCCTGCCAATCCTATCAAGGCACCTGCACAGTCAGTGCCCTGAGAGCCGTCGCCTGGCGCTCAGAGGACTCCTTGTGCTCAGTGTGGATCCCTCCATGGTGAGAAGGGGACACCTGGCTGAAGCCATACTGGCAGTCTGGGGCTGGGGAGCTCAGGGTCTTGGGCTTGGCTGGGCTTTGGTAGCTCTGGCAGCTGCTCCCAGCTCTCCTGCCTCCCTCTTCAGCTGCCTTGGCCCTGTGGGAAAGGCCTTTGGCCTCTGGGCCCCTGGGCAGCAGGGTGGGATTGCACCGCCAGAGAGCTGTTGGTGGTGCAGCTGTTCAGGGCTTCACAGCACAGCACTGTCTTCCACACAGGCTGAAAGCATCTACAGCCTGGCTGAGCACCTCATGGAGCTGCTTCATGATGGAGACGGAGATGTGGTCAGCATGACCCTCTCTGTGTTCCTGAATATGCTCCGGGAGAAAGATATCAAAGCATTCAGCTCCACTGCCCCGAAGCTGGCCGAGGCGCTCCAACCACTCTTTGATAACGTAAGGCTCTGGGTGCCTGGCACTGCCTCAAAACTTTGTGCCTTGTGGGTTTTCAGGCCTGTGCCTGTGCCTGCTGGGCCTGGAGCACCCAGTGCTGAGGTCTTTTTCTCTTCTTTTGCACCAGGACAACACCCATGTGCAGCTGCTCTCTATTCGCCTCTCCCAGGAGGTCATGGAGTTGCTTGTGGGAGAGGGAACAAATATGCAGGTGCACCAGAGCCTGGTCCCCCCGTTCTTCCGCTGGCATGATGAGAACCAGTGCGTGGCAGAGGTGAGCACTTGTGGGCTCTGGTGTCCCTGTGGCAGGGGGCTCGGCTGTCTCATGCCCTGGTGCCTCACAGGCTCCAGCCTCCTCCTGGCTTTGGCCCAGGGATGCAGGTGGTTGTGCTGCCATGTCCCAGTCTCTGCTGCTCTGCAGGCCTCTCAGGGTTGCTAGGTACCCACTAAAGCCTCTCTCTCACTCCCCTCTGCAACTGGACAGAGCAGAGAAAATCCAACAAAGGATTCAGGAGTTGAGATAAGAGCTGAGAGAGGTCACTTACTGATCACCATTATAGGCAAAACAGACTCAGAGTGGGGATATTAACGAAATTTATTACTAACACGATCTGAGCAATACAGTGAAATGAAAAAAATACTTAAAACCACCTTCCCCCCACCCCTCCTTCCTTCCAAATTCTACCTCCTCTTTCCCCCAGCAGTGTAGGGAGACAGGCAATGGATCTTACAGTCAGTTGTTGTTTCTGCTGCTGCTCAGGGAGAGCACTCCTTCCCCTGCTTCCTGGGGGGTCCCTCCCACAGGAGACAGTCCTTCATTAGCCTCTACAGCATGAGTCTATCCCATGGGCACCAATTCTTCACAAAACTGCTGCCACAGGGATCACATTTCCATGGGGTGCAGTCCTTCACCAATGAGCTGCTCCAGCTTGGGTCCCCCACAGGGCCACAAGTCCTGCCAGGGAAACCTGCTCCAGCGTGGGCTCTTCTCTCCACGGGCTGCAGGCCCCTGCCAAGACCCTGCCCCAGCACGGGACTCCCACAGGGTCACAGCCTCCTTCGGGCATCCACCCCCTCTGTTGTGGCTCCTCCATGGGCTGCAGGTGGATCTCTGCACCCCAGTGCTCCTCCAGGGGCTGCAGGGGCACAGCTGCTCCACCATGGTCTGCACCAGGGGCTGCAGGGGAACCTCAGCTCTAGTGCCTGCAGCACCTCCTGCCCCTCCTTCTGCACTGACCTTGGGGTCTACCTTGTTGTTCCCATCTTCTCACTCTGCTCTTCCCTGGATGAAATTTTCCTCTGCGCAATAACTTTCTTTCCCTGTTTAAATATGTTATCATGGAGGCATTACTACCGTTACTGATTGGCTCAGCCTTGTCCAGCAGCAGGTCCATCCTGGAGCCAGCTGGCATTGGCTCTGCAAAACGGGGGGAAGCTTCTAGCAGCTTCTAACAGAGGACACCCCCGTAGTCCCCCTGATAGCAAGACCTGGCCACAGAAACCCCATACAGCTCCCAATTTAGATTTTGTCAAGGAGAGAGATGTCCCCAGTCAGAAGCAAGTAAGCAGCCTGTGGCCAGGGATGGAGTCCCCCACAGCTCTTGCGGCACCTCAAGCTGCGTCTGCTGGCCCCATAAGCCTTTGAGTCCAGCACAGTGTAGGGAGAAGGGAAGCATTTCTCAGGGGAAACTGGGCAACTTGCTCGCTCTGGCAGCTCTCCAACTCTCCCCCATTCCCCCTCCAGGTGCCAGCCATCGTGAGGTACATCCACCAGTGCCTCACCTTCCAGGTGTCTTCACATGTCAGCCTCCAAACCAACATTCTCAGACTGGCAGGTGCACACTCCTGTGACGTGGTGATGTCTCTCCTGAGCTGTGCCCCAGCGTGTGACAGGTAAAGGGCTCAGCTGCCCTCCTGGATAAGGGCTTGCCAGCCTTTAGAACCAATCACCCCAGAGAGCCTGTCCCACCTGCACTCACAGACAGATGGAGGCTTCCAGGACCCTATGACCCCTCCATTTCCCAGCCCTGGCATGTCAGCCCCCAATCCTGCTGCCATGTGCCCTCCCTGACCCTCAAGGCACTTTGACTCTGTCACCCGGGCCCCCACAGCTGCCCAGGCCGGGGCACTGTGGCCGACAGCCCCCTGACACAGGGCTCTGGCTCCACAG